CCAGCACCACATGCCAGCCAGCCCCGCCACCTGGTGGGCTGAGCTGGCCACAGACACACACACAATAAATAAATGTAATAAATAAAAATAAATAAATATTAAAAAAAAGAAGGCAGAAGAAATAAACAAAGATAGGGTAAGAGTTAGGAACCTTAGATTTTAAAAAAAATAAAAAAAATAAATAAATAAAATCGAGCAAGGAATACCAGTACATTTAGTCAACCAGTTCAAACACAACATATACGAATACTCAACAGTCATAAAATGGCCCATTAATGAAAGATCATTAACTTGTAACATTTCCACATTTTAACAACAACATTTTGACCAATATTTTACTAACAATATAAGAGACAAAACAGAAGCAATTGTAAGCAATTTTAACAGTACTATGTGAAGCAAAACTGAACAAGGCAAAGCATGAACAATTATGAGCAATGGGCAAAGACATATTAACATTTGAAACATAAATTTGTTACCTAAGCAAGTCCCAATTCAGAATTTATGAAAGAAAAGCAAACTCATACTTTCGTCCAATGATCTCGGTGGGAAACTCCAAAATGATACAGGGAGAAAAACTGGTCTCAGGTGGGTGACCTCTAAACCATATAGGGAACCTCCAAATGACATAGAGAAAAACAGTCTCTAGACCTGATCTGCACGAGTTCGTGTTCTCTAAAACCGAAGAATGAATTTTAGGAACAAACGGAGCAGAATATATTTATTGAGAGAAAGAAAGCTCCTGTCCAAGAGAGGGACGGGGAGGGGGGCCCAAGCAGGTAGTTCCCCTCTGTGGTAACTTCTTTATTTGTACTTGGAAAATTTTCTGACATTATTTCTGTGAACAGGTTTTTCATACCATTTTTACTATAATTTTTATTTTTTCCTTGATTCTAATTAGTCTTAGACTATTTTTCTTTCCATCATCTAGATGAATGTATCAATTCTTTTTTTTTTTTTTTTTTTTTTGGTGGAACCAAGGCTTGAACTCAGGCCCTTGTGCTTGCCAGGGAAGCACTTATTCCACTGAGCCATCTCCCTGGCTGATGATTGTAGATAAAGGAGTGTAGAATTTGCAACGCCCACTCCGGAA